CGCGAAGGAGTCTCCGTCTGAGGCCGGAACATCTTACGGTCTTAAACGGAGCCTTTAAACTGGGGGGAGCTTGAGGGTTTTGGAAGTGCCCAGTCCTCTCTGGTGGAAATTAAAGTTGGTACTCAGCTGGCAGGCAAATGCCAGATATTTTGACACGATATCCCTTCCTGAATGTTAAACGTGCCTCTCGCGTCGCAGGCCCCCACAGCCCTTTGGATGGACGCTACGCAAACACCCGGGCTACGATCTCTGTGCCGCTGAATCAATTCTTACACGCTTGTAACTTCTGTAGGAGCAGGATCAGGCCTGTTGCCCCACGTTGCCTGAGCTGTCCACTTGCATTGACAGGTACAACTAAGCCGTGAAGCTTTGAATGCTTTTTTCAGCGTTCAAAGTGGACCACCTGCCTTCTCTCTTTTCCAGGTGAGTTAAAGAGGAGCTGTGAACAACGGCTATGGCACTGAGATGCTTTCGGCAGCTGCAGTCCCTGCTGTATCGTTCTTCGTTTGCAACGAGGGTGTTGCCACGGGCTCCTGCAGGCTGCGCAGCCCTGCTCCTGAACAGCTGCATGCAGTGTGTCCATCAGATGATGCAAACTAGACAGCTAGCTACCAAAAAAGGTAAATACGGCAGCCTTTTTACTAGTGTGTTGCCAGATACTACTTAAAACAGAATTTCTTATCCCATTTAGCTCATGTACCAGCATGGATCTGACCTAGGCACACAGCACAGCTCTGGAGGAGCTGATCTGCCTAAGTGTATTGCAGTGTACGTGAAATTTTAGTCCTGTCTCTGGGAGAAGTACTGCACGGACATGAGCGTTGGGCTGGGGCAGTGAGTAGTAATCTTCACATTCCACACTGGAGATAATGCCCACAGTGTGACATCCAAATACATTTTGGATTACGTGCTCAAGCGCTGGGCTACTTACTCGTTCTAAAAATATACTCGTGACTCATTTAAAAACATAGTTATTTCAGTTCATCTTAGGCTCAGTTCTGAAAATAACAGCGATTGTAGTGGTTTCTTTCTAATCCGACAAGGAAGTGTTGTTAGAAATTAATTTTGTATGTAATCTGCAGCTAAAGGTAAAGGACAGGCTCAAGCCAGAGTGAATATCAGTGCTGCCTTAGTTGAGGATATTATCAATTTAGAAGAGACCAGTGAAGACATGCAGGCGGTAGTAGAAGCCCTGAAAGAAGATTTCAGCAGAAATCTCAATATTAGAACCTCACCAGGTTGGTAATTTTCTTGTATAATATTGCGCTGTCGATAAGTAAGGTTACTAGTCTTTGCAGCACAGAACTGCCTCTTTAATTTTTTCAAAACTGATTTTCTTTTTATTGAGTTATTCACTAGGCAGCAGATTACAACTTTGACATCCCCAACTAAAGGCCTTTTTCACCCTGAGCTTGACCAGGAAGAATCCATTTTTGTTAATAGCTTCCTGGAAATAGCTTTTGTAAGTGGGAGATGTCAAAAGTGTCTAACTGAACTGTTTGCAGATGTGATGAAGAAGCAGGTTGTCAGCTAATGGTGCAGTAGGGCAGGAAAAATCCAATTGCCATTAAATTAGCCTTTTGGAAATTGCCATCAGGCTGGTGTCTGGCATATACAAACTTTTTTTGCTATACGTATTTGTGGTTAGTGACCTTTACAAGCCCTACTCACTTAGTGAATTTTGTGTTTTAGAAAGAAACATGAATATATTTAACTAAGCTGCAGTTACTATAACACTCTGAACATATGTATTTATAAGTAGTATCAAGTTTCAGGGATAAAATTTAACATTAAACAATGACCAAATTTGAATCATTCACCACTCCAGCTCTGGCTGGGGCACTTCAATCTTTAATGGAGCTGGAAAGTTTATCTCAATCTCTTAACTATTTATTCTAGCCATAGGTATTTTTTTAATCGCGCTGATAAAGTGCCTCTTGTCCCATGTGCCTTTTGGCCTGTTAACGTTTTTGAGCATAAACTAGAGAGCAGATTAAGAGTAGCTCAGGGAGAAACTGAATACTTTAAATTAGACAGCGTACAACACCTCCTCTTGGGACTTGGAAAAGAACTTCAGGGGCTTAAGGGAACACTGCAAAGCTGAAGACGGTAATTTCCTTGATGCTTATAACAACATTTAGATTTTCTTTAAATTGTAAGAATTAAAAAAAACCCTTTTAATTATTCATCATCTTTGCTTAGTTTTCCTGTTCTAATAATGAAAACAAACAAGAGTTTTGTTTTCGCGTTCTTGTGCTCAAGAGTAATGTTGAAATATTTAGCTTGCGAATGCCACAGGGGATGCATAAGTACAAGAGCAAAATTGTAAGTCTGAAAAAAACCCTTTTCTTTTGTAGCATCTGTATGTTGTGTAATGAAAGGAATGCAGGACACTGCATATGTCTTTCTACTACATTAGCATTCTGAACTGCCATGTCATACTGAAATTCCACTGTGTTTGGTTCTTTGGAGGGGCCTTTGATCACATAATTGTGGTGACAAAAGATGGGAAGTTTCCACTGAACCAGCTTGGGCAGATCTCGCAGAAGTCACCTCAGCTCGTTTTAGTGAACATGACCAATTTTCCAGAGGTAAGGAGACATTACTGAAGGCATTACAGGGACATAATTACCAGGGGAACAAACAGGTGGATACTGAGCAAAGGAACATTTAGACTAAATCAGTCAGCTCTGACAGTCGTTGAGAATTCTGACTGCACGGCGTATCACTTCATGTCTGACACGCAACAGAAGTCATGTTTTGCTGCAGATTGCACACCGCACCAGGCAAGTGACTTTCCAGCACTGTCTAGATACAAGATATCTCACATGCGCAGCAGCACTGGGGTCTGCCCAGTGTTACATGCTGCCTGTTAGGCCATGATTGCTCTCAGGCTCCCATCCAATAAATCCCAAGAATATGGTCATTCTGCTTTGGGGACTAGTTTCCCATCCGTTGCATCACTAAGAACTTGATTGAAAGAAAGCATAGAGACTATCATAACTAGGGCAGGGCAGTGCTGGAAGGACACCTAGATAACTGTGCCCTGCTAGGTCTCTTCGTTTCCTGAGCTTTTACTGCACCCAGTAGTCTTGCACACGCATGTTGTCCTTTTGGTTCACCTGACTTGCACATGTGAGAATAATGCTAGATCTGCCCTTTCATATTAATGTCAGTTCAGTTCCTTATGAAGACTTGACCACATGCAAAACCGTACGTGTAGTTAGAATAGCCCGTATTTGTGTTGGGGGCACCATCAGATTTCTATAAAACGTGCTTACTTACCACAGACGCTTGCTTAGCACTCTCTGAAAGCTTACGGAAGAAGCTGCTGACGTAGCCCATGAACGCCTGAAAAGATTGTGCCGCTCCTCTGGTAGCACTAAGCTGGGCCTGTGCTATCACAGGGCCTGACAGGCACTGCTGAAGTTAGTGAGCTCCTCTCTTGACAGTGCCTTCAGATCAGGACCCCAAATTGAAGTGCCCTTTGAGAGAGCCAACTTCCCTTAATTTTCTGCAGGAGCCTTAGTTAGACTTGCCCCTTAAGTTAGGTGAATCCCACCTTCGGGACAAGCATTCGCAGTCCCTTGTAGAGAGGGCTGTCACTCAGAGAGACCGGAGCGGTGTGTGCAGATATAAGCAGTAATGAGCTCAGGGTTAGCAATTCATCCAGCTCCAGGTCTGGAGGTTTGCCAAAGCTTATCTCTATTTATTTTGCAAAGGCTTTCCCCAATTAATTAAGTCAGCAAAGTCTCAGAGGAGGTCAGTGTGAGATACTTGATGCCTAAGTGTTTCTTAAAGTGTATCCAGCATGTGTAATGACTTTGAAGAATGAAGGCCCCTCATCAGTGAGCGCACAGAGGTCCCTCAGAGTGCCAGAGCTGAGAGGGCTGAAGAAGTCACTCCATGACTTAGCCCGTGTCCAAGCAGGAACTGAGACAGGCTGAGAAATAGGCATGTGTGAAATCAAATACCACCAATGTACCATTGCCTACAGTTTTTTTCTAAGCCAGGGACTCATTTTTCACTTGAACTCGAGCTATAACCATTTCTCTCAATGCAATTTTTTTTTTTATAAAATAACTATTCCATGGCTAGGTTGAACTCCTTAACAACGTTAGGCACACGTTTACTTGATGTCATTATTTGCAGCATATAGCCAATACTTGATAGTACTGAAAAGGAAATAGAAATGTCCGAAGAATCTGTGAAAGAAAATAATCATAGAAAAGGATTTGCAGGGCCAAATTCTGTCTGATGTATCTATGCATGAGATTTATAAACACAAACAAGACTTTGTCTTTTAAGCCTGAGTATATATTTCAACAGGATGGGGGCAATATTGCAATATTTTCCCCTTCCTCTATCTCCTCCAATGTACATGCTAAACAACACAGCTTTTACTGAACATTTCCTTCCTACAGGACAGGCGCTGTTCATAGAATAACACGTTTACAGTCCTAACTTGCTGAGATCATCTTTGTTACATTTTCTCTGCCCTTTTTATGTTCTAAAGATCGGCAGTTATGTTTTACAACACATTGGTACAGCATTCATTGCGTTCAGTGATGTCCACAAGCACTGGAGACCTAAACAAATATGCAGAGCCTTAATTTGTGCCTCAGTTGATAAATGCTGGACTTCATAAATACAGTCTACTGTAGTAGCTTGGATCTAAAGTCAATAACGGAAAAGAGTATCAGAATTAGCAGTGTTCCTTGTAGAAAATGCCACGCTAGTGCCAAGAAATATAGACTAATTCTGTTCTGTCATTGTTAACGTCAAAGAATGAAACAAGCTGGCAGGGCACTGTTGGAGTCTTCTGCAAAACTGTGATTTAACCGTAAAGTTTAACACTCTGTAAAGGTACACCAGTGCTCTATGATGGGGAAGGAAGTATTTAAACACTTTGCAGTTTCCAAGCACACCTGTCCATGTCACCTTTTAAGCAGAGTGTCAACACAGCCAGCAGTGATGGAGTCTTAAAAAGTTAATCCTACGTAATTAGCTGTAAAATAAACTTAGAGCTGAGCACAGGCTCCGTTTCTCAGCCAGCTGCTACTGCCCTGATGTAACGTGGTCAGGTTGCAGTGCTGAAGCGGTTAAGTTAGTTAACATTTCTAAATTGGCACTTTGTGATTTCTAGTGGAAAACATTCAACTGGAATTTTTAAATGCTCAGAATCTTTCATCTCCTTTGCCACAGTCAGGCTATGCCTTGGGAATTTATTGCGGTTTCGCTCTGCATTGCCTCAAACCATTCCAATAGTTTCAAAGAAGCAAAACAGTTTTCTTTTGTTGTTGCTTCCCTTCCCCTCTCTCCCCCCTTCATGCCCTCCGTACCCTGATACCGAGAGCAGCCATAGTTTCCCATTCAGTTTGATCAAAGCTCTCTGCACCAATGTAACTTCCTGATCTTACTGGTAACAGAACTAAATGTTTCCATGTTCTGTGGAGATGGATTGCCAACTATTGACAGAGTTCTGGCATATGGGAATAATTATTTCCTAATTCCCTTTACCTTTTGATCTGGTTTACAGAGTACAGCTGCAGCTATGAAGGCTATAAGGGAAAGTGGAATGAACCTAAACCCGGAAGTAGATGGGACAATAATTCGGGTACCAATCCCCAAGTAAGTAATGATGGCTGTCTAAATTCATGGTTATGCAAGACAACATAATAGGTTGCAGCGAGTGCCCCTCATTGTCCTCGGCCGTGTAAGCGTGCATGATTGCTGTGATGTCTTGATGCAGCTACTCTCCACACAGCTACTCTCTTTTTTTTTTTCTTTGGGAAAAAATCTGAGCCCCTAAAAATATCTGATGGAACTTCTTCCAAGTGTCTGAGCTCTAAGTCACCACATTTTGGCATCTCATGCCTGGTCTCATTGTTCTTTATCTTCCCCTTGCAGAGGAAGCTTGGGCCTAGCTGGCTGCAGCACTTTGCAAGAGACAGCCAAAGACTTTGGAAGCTGTATCGCCTTAATTCAAGGGCTGACTCCTTGCTGCTTTTCTGCAATTCCTGGAGTTACATCAGCACTGAGCAGCAGTATTGCAGTAGCGAATGAGTAGTATTAGAGGTGAACAGCACCTTGCTGCAGAGAACATCAAAAGGAAATGATGGAAGGAAGAGGGAGGAAATTGAGAGCTTTGACTAAAAAAGCCACTCCCTCTCCTCACTTAGGACACACCTTACAGCCCGTGGCAACATGGACGTAAAACGTCCGTCTGTATGTATATGGCTCGTGGTCAGAAAAGCAGCTGCTCCTGCCTGAGGACTGGGCTTCACTTCCCTCACCATCACAGGCTTCTCCCAGCGCTCAGACCAATCAGGCAGGTGTCTTTACATCAGTGCTTTAGCTGGGATCAAGAGAGTGCTTTAGAAGCAAGTCACCTGATGGTCAGTGCTTAGAAGGCTTTGGTTCACAGCGTGTTGCTGTCTCAAAACACGTGAGTAGGATTCCTTTCAGATGAAACTGAACAGAAAAATATACTCTGGGAGTGCACCTAATGCTCCCCCAGTGCTCACATGTGTTCCCTCCCTGAGAGGAGACCGGATCTCCTGTAGAGCCAGACCTCTGGAAGGCAGGCAGCTCAGAGCTGCCCTGCAGCTCGGCTCTTCCTGTGGCACGTATCTTGCTAGCACGGGCACCGCACCGCCTGTAATGGGGAGAGTAGCGCTGCTCTGCCCGGGTCTGGGTGGTGCAAGGTCAATTCATGAGTTGCTGTGGGTGCTCAGACCCTGCTGGAGCGGAGTCAGATGTGGATGTACAAACCCACCACTGGCCTGATTTCACAACTCCCATAAAGGCTAGAGACGGCTTTTACACTGCGCGTACCATGCACATGCACTGCATTTTACAAGCAGGTGACTTCTGAGTAAAGATGAACTAAGTATTTCTAGTGCTTTAGATCTATGTTAAAAATACTGCTGGATTTTATCTAGCATTTTGATTAGGGAATTCTAATTGCAGCTTTCTGGTGCTGTCGGCGAAAGGGAATGACATTATCATTCTATTTGCTGATTTTCTTTTTCCCCTGTGCTCTCTGCCCTTCCCCCCTTCCTCAGGAGAGGAGGCAGAGGAGGAGGGCACTATTATCTTCATAATTGCTGAGGCTCCCGGGTTGCTGCACAGTAGTTTGATTGTTAATGGGCACTTGGGTCATCCTTGAATATGAATTGCAGGGGAGGAAACTCTGAAACTGCAAATCCTGATCTTTAAAAAAATATATTATTTTTTAAACAACTGTGTATGTTCTGTCACTTTCTTTTGTGGTGCTGTGGAGCAAAACCAGGTCTTCTTTCCCCATGGAAGACCTGTGTAGTGGGCTCTCGTGTTCCTCTGGTGTATCACTATTGCTGCTCTTGTTTTTTTTTTGCCCTGGGTGGTTGGCAGCCTAGGGAGTCCTGAATTAAAGAGATTTTCCACTTGGAACATGTGCCTTGCAGGTCTGCCCTGATGGGCACCTCAGGTCCCGTTTTCCTCACCCACTCTGTAGTGACGAGACTGGATCTTTCAGAGTTTCATCCACCTATCGACAAGACAGGCAGTCAGCTAGAATCTTTTACAACCTTCTAATGTAAAGGGGGAAAAATAAATCAAATTCTGCTGGAGGCCTCTCTTTAATAGTATATCCCTGAATTACTTTTTCTAATTTTCCAAATTATTTCATTTTCCCAACACTCTAATGATGTTTATGATGTGACAGACAGGAAGCAGTTAACTTACCAAAGTTATAGCAGGTGTGCAAAATAAGCAGACAGATCAGATAAAGTTGCTGTAGGTATCACTTGCGTATCTGGAAGATACAATATTATTTCTGCAGAAGCTGATTCTTTCATGAGGGTGGGCACATCAAAAGTAAAACCAGCAAATCTGAAACGTCTTTGCCTGTTACTAAAAACACTTTTCAGTCCGACGTATCAGCTGGACATGTGTGCATCATATTTTGCCTCATGCAGGTTCAACTATACTTCAGTGCTTGAGATTGTTTCAACTGAGCATTTAAAAATGGATTTTAAATGGCATTTTAAAATATACTTTTCAGTATTTATTCATTTAATTTTTACATTTCAGTTTAGACAGTAAAAATACACTGGTTTCACTCGTGTTTACTTCTGCTTCCTGCTAGGATCCCCTCTACTCCCCAAGGTATTAGCTTGTTTGTGTTGCTAGCACTGCATGGGCAATATTTATTTGTATTAAAATCATTCTCTGAGGGTTTAAAAAGAAACAAAAAAAACCCAGCCATGGGAACATTTGTATTGGTTGATCTCTTGGCCGAATTTGACCTGACCTTGTGCCTTTTATGGTATTGCCTCATTTTTAGATTCATCTTTTTTGGAACTATTGTGTTACACTAGATATTGTTTGTAAATTAGTAATATTTTTACACATGCTTTACTGAAAGCCAGATGACTCATTTGAAAGTTTAATGACTCATTGTGAGCTTTCTTTTTTCCCTTTAAGAAATATGCAAAGATACCTACTGCGGAGAGAAAGGGCTCAAGAAATTTCATTTGAAAAAAAACAAAGCTGTTTTTGAGCTGCGTTGCTCCAGATCTCTCATCATAAGTGTCATACGTGCTTTCTGTTGAATAATATCTTTTGCACCCTGTGTTTATCTGCATCTGCAATTATGCATGCAGAGTATCTAGTTAAGCCTACTTTCCTTTAGCTGATCCCTCTCGTTCACAGGAATTTCCTAGCATTTAAGATAGAGAAATTATTCTTACCCGCATAAATGTCTCGTGTTGGAGATCAGATGTGGCCTGCATTGTTTTCACTGTGGGTGCGCTCATGTCGTATGCTGCAAGAGGAGCATCCAAGTATTGCAGCGTTTAAACCACCGGTTGCTGACTGAAGCAGAAAAAGAGGAGACGTTACCAATCGTGTAGTTGCATTTCTAAAACAAACTGGCATTTCCGTCACCAGGGGCCTCTTATGATCACCCCTCATAGCCCCACAGCGCAGGATTGACCCTCTAGAAACAGCAGGATTGGAGCCTGTTGCTTCTTTATATCCAAAGGAGATGCAGCGTTCCCCCAGCGATGTGCGCTGGTCGGGAGAGGGAGGAAGGGGCTACGGGCAGGGACCTTGGCCTCGTTCCCCGCTCCTGGCACCCCTTCCCCAGCTTTACTGCACGCTTTCTGGCTCTAAAGAGGAGGCAGGGACAACGATCATTAGCTAGAAGAAAAACCATATCCAGAACAGCGTGGAAGTCCCAGATGTGGTGGCAGAATTAAACAACTGTTCTTTAAAACCTTGGGCCTGGCTCACGCTGATGGATTTCTTAACCAGAAACAGCATCTGCCTGAAAAAAAGTGCCCGTTTCTGGCATAGCTGGTAGCATTGCTGAGAATTTACACACAGTCTGGTTGGAACATAAAACCCGCCAAGAAACTCCGCGGTGCTGTTCAGTGATAAAAAGAAATTGGTGTTAATAAAGACAGACAAGGAGGCATGAAAGCTGTGACCCTGTGCCAAGAAGCATAGGAAATCTGGCAGCACTGCATAAACAAAAACATTTCCTTAAAGGCTCAGCAGCCCTAAGCAGGCGAGTGATACCCTCAGCACAGCTCACGAAAGACGAACACAAACGGGGAGGTGAATAGCTAACAGCAAACTTGATCTCGCCCAGCTGAGGCAGTCCTGCCGCAGAGCAGCTTGCCTCGCCACCCAGCAGGAAAGCAGAGAGATTTTCTACTCCCTCCTCCAAGTTCAGTGGACGCAGATTTAACACACACGTGCGTACGCACCCGCCCCGGGAGCCTGACCTCCCGCGGACCTCTGCCTACGAGCGGGCTCTGCTGGTTTCGCATGTGCCGCAGGACCTCTGGCTCAGAGTTTTGGAAAAGAGAAGCCCTAAAGGCATCGACGTTGGGATGCACAGGAAACCACAAGTAACCCTGCTCACTTTTAATTAAGTGTCCAGATCCAGGCTCTGGCCTCAGCTGACCAGAAGCCTCTTGCCATATGTGAAAGAAGCGGGTCCGCTCCCTCCAGCTGTGCTGTCTCAGCCGATGTCAGCAGGGAGGAGGCCGGGCCAGGGAGCCAAACCTGTCCCTCTCCCCCAGCTCCCCCCCAGCTCCGGGCTGCGTGGCAGCAGCAGGCGCGACCGTACACACTGTGGCTGTGTCTCTGCTACCTATGTCCGTCAGCTTTTCTAGAGACACCAAATTCCAGTAATTACTCATCACTTCTGGAAAGCCTATTCCCTTCTGCACCTTGAAGTAAAAATAACTGACTAGGCTTGGGAACGGACAGCGCCTCTGCAAACATCTGCTGCGAGTGACCCGACGGCTGCAGGGAGGTATCAAAGCGAATGTGCCTCCTTGGACTGAGAACAAGCTCGGAAAGGGCTCAGAATCTGAGCACGTAACGACAGACTCTTTGTAATGAATACCCGCGAGGGGGCAGAGCTAGCTCTGCCGTGGGAGCCCTCGCCCCACGTTTCCTGAGCTCTCTGTAGGAAGAGCCTTGGCCTCAGTGTTTTGGTGACCCAGCCTGTTGCAGTCAATTTCTAAATGCTCCCGTGACATGTTTATTTTGCAATATCTTCTGCTAGCAGACAGGCGCTCGCTTACGAGTGAGTCTTAGTAGGTACATTGGGCTTTTCATTCGCAAGGCAATCTGGAAACATCAATAGCCGTGAAAGTAATTGAAATATTATTGTTAAGCATTAACAATTAATGCTGACAGCGATCAGCTGTAGATGCTGGAAAGAAGCAGAACAGTACTGGAGCTAAGGTGACCTGTCAGCTGTTCCTGTGTCTTACTCAGGTGCTCAGACTCCTCCATCACCTTTAGTTTTTAGTTTGGGATGGAAAGTTTAGGATTTTCCTGTGGAATCACAGCTGTAACTGGCCCAGTATCAGGGCAGAGGTGGAAATGAAATTCTACTCTGCCACTTAGCTGTGGATCTGCTGAGCCACTAATTTCGGAACCACTTCTAGGATAACCCTCTTGTCAAACAGGATGTTAAACATGATCTTAGTGGAAATGCCTGTTAGTGATGAGCTGGAATAAGGTTCAGTGAAATATAAGCTCTATAGCTTCCAGATATATAATTCAGCCTCTTGCAGTTGCAGGGAGGCTATATTGAGTTTCAGGAACGGACGGAGGTTTCCTCACAGCTTTGCAGGAGGATTACACTTTTCAGCTCTGTCTCTCAGGTCTGGAGCTGGATTTTCCCTCTTTCCCCCAGATGCTTTGGCAGCAGAAAAAAGGAAAACCTAAACATTACAGCATGACTTTCAGGCACTGCACTGACAACCATGAAACAAGTAAGATTCATTGCAAGTCCCTCAGCTCAGAGCTGTGCTGGGAGCTTTCTGCTCTAGGCTTGAGACTTACTTTACTGAGGTATGTCACCACGGCAGGAGCTGCGCTGTTCTGTGCAGAGGTACCTGAGTTAGCTCAGACTGAGTCAACCAGGGGACGAAAGCAGGATGACCAGTCCCTGAGCCCGCGCTGTTTAGCGCTGCGACCTCGCGACGTAGAGCCTCAGCCCAGAGTGAGCGCTGTCTTAACACACGCTGCTTTGGGGTGTCCCGGCAGAGCCCAGCATGGTGCTGCAGGGCAGATCTGTCTAGGCCGGTCGGTCCCGGAGCCAGGAGAGCTGTCCGAGACCAGCGCGCAGAGGATCACTGGGTTTACCCATAGTCCAGTCTGTCCTTCACAGGAAATAAATCTAGCTGTGCTACACATGACACTGTTTTTTTCCCACTGCTAGGATAACCAGAGAGCACAGGGAGAGCCTCGCTAAGCTTGCCAAACAGTCCACCAACAAATCCAAAGATGCCTTGAGAAAGGTGCGAAGCAAGAGCGTGACCCAAATAAAGAAGTTCAAGAACAAAGTGTCTGAAGATACTATCTGGCTGCTAGAAAAGCAGGTAATTTTGTTCCTTCTGGCACATCCCGATGTTTCACAGCCCAGTGGTGTGAACATTTATCCCAGACCTTGCCAACAGATTTCCAGCGCTGAGAACCTAGTTGGGAGATGGGTGACCCTGGGCTGAATTTTTGGGGTAGATAATGGCTGCTGTTTTTGCCTTTTCTCTGTGCAATTTGGGGCTTGAATCTCAAAGCCAAATTCACGGTATGAACCATTGTAAACTAACACAGGAAGAGTCTTCCCTGAAAGTTTTTGTAGCTCAAGGGACTATTGCACAAGCCAGCTGACCTCAGGGGAGCAAAACTACCCACGTTCACAGTGCCTGGACCTTGCAAAACAGCTGGTGTTAATGAGGATTGCTCCAGTTTGTTATTAATGAAAAGGCTAGCAAGATTATCTCTGTTAGGAGTTTTTGGCTTTGATTCAGGAAAATACTTAAGCACATGCCTAATTCTCTAAGAGCAGATGTCACTAAAGTCAATTACTTGGGCATAAACTCAGGCACAAGCATAAGTGTTTTGCTGAATTGATGCCTCTGAAGGCAGGCCATTACTTTTTAGCTGTTTGTTTATTAACAGCTAAAGCTAGATACGTTGCAAATGCTTCAGAACAGTTCTCTGTGTGCTCACAAAAATAAACATTGATATACAGAGCATTTGTGCAAGCAGGAAAAATGGCCATGCTATTGTAACTGAATCCTGTTGGGAAGCAGTCCTCCCAGAGCAGACAGATGGTTTTCTGTATTTGTAGAGGTAGTGTCTCAAGTCTAATTTTTGCTTGTACCCAGATTTTTCAGCATGAGAAAAGGTCGTTCTCAGATGTCTGGGACCTCAGGAGTCAATGCTGCAAAATCAGTCTTCTAAAACTAGTGTGTGAAAACCTTCGATGTGCTCAAACCTTTATCCACACATCGTGCGCTCAAATAAGCGTGCACACACGTGGGCACCGCTGACATGCTTCCCATCTCCAACGCTTATTACCAGGGCAGGGCTTTAGCACTAGCAGTTTATTTATCATTTACAAGAAATAAGTGGATATGTTACTTAGTACACACTAGGAATTCACACATTAAGACTGGCTCCTCCTATTATCCAGTTTGTTGTAATAGTGGAAAGGTTGCAGAAAGTAATGAGATAAGCCCTCTCTTCTCTGGCACTGACAGCAGCAGGTCTCTTAACTCCACCCTCCCCCTGAGGTAGCTCTGTTAAATAAGGACTTGACAAAGTAATGTGTGAGGCTCAGCCAAGATGTTTTGTCAGGAGTCTTTGAGAGAACAGCGAGGACTGCAGCAAACGTAGGTTACGTACAGGGTGTAAGCAGACGCGGACATCTTCAGATGCCAAGTGACTCTAGCCAAAACAGCAGAGCGCCGGTGGGAAGCTCTCCCAGGTCCCTCGCCGTTCTGTGCACCAGCGTTCAAATCCGCATCGGCAGTAACTAGGAGCTGCAGAGAGAATTCATGTTGCACCTTCATTTTCAGAGCCCTTGACTGGTCCCTGTTTTCATCGTACAGACGTAACACTGGCACAGACTTGCCTAGGGCTGGTGGGGAGCCCCTAGGAGGAAAGAGTTGTTGCCTCAGCACTATTTTGATTGTTATTAGCACTTTAGGCTTTGTTTCAGGAGATGATCCAGTCATTCCTTTCCCTTTAAACTCTGGCACTACCTAGCATGTGACTCAGACTTGTGCTGTGTTGCTGCAGATCCAGCAAATGGCAGACAGTGCCGCCGCAGAGATGGACAAGCTGCTGGCAGCGAAGACCAAGGAGCTGCTTGGATAAATGCCATCCATATGGACACGCTCCCCCCTTCTAGCAAGACTGGACTGCCTCCCACCCCACTGGCCATTCCTGCCCAGAGTCGAGCAGCCTCAGGTGATGGGCAGGGACAGCTCTCCCAGACCTCCAGAACAGATTTGTGCTTTGGTTGCTCGAACTGCTGGTCTTTGTATTGGAGGGATAGGGGAACTCTCCTTGCTTTTATTTATTCAGGTGAAAAACAAAATTAAGTGAACCAAAATTAAAAATAAAATAAGAAGGATTGGAAGCTGATGGAAGGATTCCCACAGCAGAAGCTGACACAGGAGGTAAGGCTGCCCTCTGCTTCAGGCGTTAAGCCAGCAAGAACTGGCAAGGCTTAAACCAACCGATGTTTGACCTCCCCACAGGTCTGTTTCCTACCAGGCCTGCCCGGAGCACAGCTGCAGGCTCGCCTCGCTCCCAGCCTGTTTGCTGTTGTAGCAACTCTCAGCCTGGCAGTGGCAGAAGCAAGGGACACAAGCAAGGGGAACCTTCCCTTCTGCTGTCCTGCTGTTAGCCTTGTCACATGTTTTTGCCTAAAATAAAGTCAAAATGCAACATGGAGGGACAGCCTTGGGACAGCCAGTTCGTGGTTGGTCCATCCCCTTGAGTTCACTCTTCTCAAGAGAGCACTTGCCCACTGCCCTTGCCAGCGCAATTATCAGCCTTTCCAGCAAGCGCTCCAGGAAGGTGTGGAGGAGCTCAGCACCAACTGGTGCACACTGGCAAAGCAGACACGAGAGACCGTGGATTTGTGATTCCTTAGACTCTGGTGGGTTTTGTGGACAAAGAATTGAAACTACTGCTGTCAGCATGGCTGTTTTTGCCAGGACTAAGCATACACAGGAAAACCAAAGCCAGCACAGGAGCTTTTTGATGTGAACGTCGGCCCCTGGTATCCCATTTTACAGGGCAGAGGGGAGGAGGAGGTAGAAGCAGAACGGGGTCCTGTGCATGGGGTGCAGCTGAACTCGCTGCTAGCGGGTACTTTCCAACAGCAGCAAACGGGCTTCCCTGCAGCCTCAGTCAATGGTGACTGGTTGCTGGCAACCCAGCTCCATTCCCAAAGCATTTGGGTTCAAAGAGCACCAAGTGCTCTGCAGTCCTTAAATAAACAACTCCCAAAAAGTTAGTTTGTGCACAGCGGGGAGGGGGAGGAGGATGAAGGATTTGCTCTGCTAGGGCCCCACATGTCAACAATTTCTCTGCTTTGTGTATTTTGGCCAAAGTGCCTACCATGATAAATGAATAAAGGAAAATGGCGAGCCCAGGGCGGTTACATGGCTCAGTAAATTGCTTTCAGCTGATTACTGTATTTCTTTTGACATTTATCAACTAGGCTTTTTTGTTGTTGTTGCAGCCTCTGCATCCCAGCAACAGCCTAGGATTGAAGAGCTTCCCTTGTACCTGCCTGGGAGTAATTTCTGCTAACCGTGCCAGGGCGCTTAGTTCAGCGTTTCGGTATGTCGGGGTAGTCCAAGAAGCCGCTGCAAGAGCGGGATCAGGTAGCCAGGGCTAAGTGGAGATACCAGTACTTTCCAACTGCAACTTTGTCAGTATTTTTCCTATGCAATAAGTAAAAATCCATCCTTTAGAACATGTGAGGATAATCTTGGCGTAACAATGAAGCTTAGGACATGTCTTGTGAAATGCTCGTTCTTCCTTCTAAGACACATATCAGAGTCTCTCTCCTGCTTGGAGACTGTGCTCAACAGATGCCCATTGCACAGTTACCAGACGTTATTGCCCTGGTCAGTCCCAGAACAAGACAGTAGCTTGTGGCACTGAGTATGCCTGAGCTGTGAATGCTGAATAGAGGAGATAGACAGAGGAAAAATAGAATTTTAAACTGAAAGCAGGAGACTACACAAGTCTGCATCTGAGTGTTACTGTTAGTAAAGTACTTTACATTTGTTGTATGAGAGGTTCAATATAAAATTCGCGTGTTTATACAGTGTCAGGTATCCAGTCAGTGATTTGCAGTCATTTATAAAACACTATTATTGCAATTTATAAAAAGTACCATCTGGCCAATAACATTTTTTATATAGAAAAACATTATTTTAAAACAAGTGGCACAATGAGCATAACTTTAACTAGCAAAATTCTGAGTACAGCTTTGAAGATGAAATCCAGATCCAAGTAGACCATGCTCTGGAGAGTTTTGCTGCATGATATAATCTTATTCCTTAGACTCTGCAGTGTAAAGAAGAAATATGCTCTACTCATCTTTTTCTTGTCACCTAGCTGCACTCACATCCTTATTCAAAGTGCCATAAACTCAGGTTTCCTTCTTTCCTCTCTCTAGATGACACTAAATGTGTGGGACCATACCATGTGGCTGGAAATATCCAGGTTCTATACAGTGACACAAGTTCTCTTACCTAGGTAGCATGTCAGGATTGGGAACCTGAAAACACCAGCAGTACCATGCTGAGACGGTAGTAAGGGAATGGCAGACAACGCTTCAGGGTAGGGGAGCACAGTGACATCTGATGCGGCTCTACTTTCTTTACCCATAGTCAATCTGCTTCTGCAAGTTCTCTGTTGCTCGTTTGATATCTTTAAATAAATGTTTTGCTAAATAGGGAACCACTACTCCAAATACTGCCATAGGCAACAAGCAGGCATAAACTCACAGTTCCTAAAATATGAAGGTTGTTTGCCAAGCAAAGCAAGGGCCTGCATTTGAAGGTGCTCTCTGTTGCAGAAAGCTGGGAGGTTGGCAGCCTTTGTAGAGTACATTAGAAGCACAGAGGTCTACAGGGACTGAGCAATGCTAGTTAAGTTGTAATGTCATTAAGATGTTGCTATCATATTGTTCGCTGCTCACTGCTTTATGAACCAAATTACACTTATGATTTATGTTTTATCAGGACCTGTCAATGTGCGAGGTATGAGCATTTAGAAATAACCAATGCCACTTGTTCCACTCTACGTTGCCCATGATAGAAAAAAATCAGCAGGGAGCGGGGCAGGTGCCACCTTGCAGCGGCGCCTCCCGGCCCGCGACGGAGGCGGGGTGCAGAGTGGAAGCAAAAGGAAGGAGAAACTCCAAGGAATCTGGAAGCTCTTGACATAGTTAAAAAACAACATTGCTCTTCAAAATAGATGTGATTGCACTCCTTCTGAGTCATCGAGCAGAGCCACCGCGATTGCTTTGTGCCAGGGACGAGCCTGGGCGCTGATTGTGTGCTTCCCGGATTTGTATAAAACAGAGCAGGGATGGCATGTCAGAGTTTACAGCTCGCATGCATTTTCAACAGTGAGCTTTGCAAAATGTATCAATGTAATCTCTGCCTCCTATATTCCGTGTTGATTAGACACGATTTCTGGCTGGATTTTCAGAAAGCTCAAGTGCTTTTTTAATCACTACAGAAGCTCATTATTGCTTTCCAGTGACTCTTATGTCCTTCACTTCTCCTTTCAGATTAGAGTCTATAGTCAGATGAATATTGGATGATTTCATTACATACAAATGCAATCAACAGTTTTGCATAAATTTCTCCTCTTTTCTTGAGTTTCAATTGACCTCAGCACCCGTGGAGGCAGGCGCAATACACATGTAAATGAGCTGGCGTTGCCGCAAAGACACGGATGCGGAGAAACAAGATAAACTGTCAGATAATATTCAGGATTTTACGAGATCAAAAAATACTTCCTTCTTCAGCCAATCCATAAAAATGGCACCTTCAGCTGCCTGGGAATTTGCTTTTGTTTCGTTCAGTTTCTGGCTGTGGACAAAGGCCAGGAGCGAGCCCAGCAGTGCCTTGTGCCAAGAGACGAACTGCGGAGGCTGGCGCAGCCCAGCCCTGCGCGCCGGGATGCTCGATCCCACACACCGGGATGCTCAGCTCCGCGCACCGGGATGCTCGGCCCCGCGCACTGGGATGCTCGATCCCACACACTGGGATGCTCAGCTCTGCACGCTGGAATGCTGGGTCCTGCACACTGGCTGCTTGGTCTCACGCGCTGGGATGCTTGGTCCCACACACCGGGATGCTTGGTCCCACGCTCTGGGATGCTTGGTCCCACACACCGGGATGCTTGGTCCCA